CCCCCCTGCTCCCAAAACAGTCAAAATCATCTCAGTGTTCCTGGAAAGTTAATTTAATATTTACTTAATTTATTCATGTCATACCTTGAGTCCTTTAGCAGGACTAGACATCAAAAATCCATGTGGTCATTGTAATTATTCCACAGCTTCTGGAAAAAAGCCCTGAGTCTTCTCTTAAATGCTTTGCTACCTTCAGCAGGAATAAAACAGATTTCCCTCCTCATTCCCTACTACGACATCTGGCCACAATTAGCTGGGGGGGATCTCACATTTTTTGAGGAGACATCAGCAATAATTTGGATTTTTTTTTCCCCTTCCCCTCCTTTTTAGCCGCAATACGTGGGACACACTTCCCCAGGGAGCCGAAGCAGAATGTAGGACAGTCATTCCTGGCTGCATCCCTCCTTCCCAGGATGGATTGCTCACAGGACAACCCCTTGCCTCACGTAGCAAAGGCCGGTTTTTCCCTCCTCTGTCATTCCCAGCATTTGTCACCACCTCGTACTTTAAGCCCTGAGCACCACCCAGGGAGCTGCACAACTTCTGTGCAAAATTCAGAGACAAGTCAATGCAGAACTAAATTATCCTCTGGTAGAACACAGGCTGTTAAATCATTCTTTATATTTTTACTTTTTTTTTTACATTTTATTATTTTTTTTTGGCCGAGACGACGCTAATTTTTCATTTTTATGGCCTTTTGAACATGAACTCCTCGTAAGCCCATAACCTGCTGTATGACTGAATACACAGAAAAAAACAAAACCCCCAAACAGGCTTAATATGAAAACCAGTGCTAAATCTGGAGAAAAACAGAAAAGAAAAAAAAATCAAACTGCTACCAGAAGGTTTTTTATTTTAGTCCCTCTCTCTCGGCTCTATTTGCATTTTCAGTGGGCAGTCCGTGGGTTTGTTGGATATATTAATTAAACAAGCTCAAAATGAGGCACTGGGAGTGAAGGACACTGTGGTGGGAGGGGGGAGATGGCCAGAAAAGCCCCTGAAACTCGAGGCACCCGGTGCTGGGGGTGGTGGGGAGGGCAAGGAATCCCTGGCAGCAGGATAAGCTCAGACCAAAGTGTCTGGTTTGGATAGGGATGGAAGGGAGAACAACACAGGGATCAGGAAAATCCATCTCACTGGGAGGGGCTCGTTCCACCTTGTTGCTGCTTCAAAATCCTCTATTTCCCTAAATTAGGGGTTCAGCTTTAGGTGCTTCATCCTATTCCAGTCCCTACAAACTCCTCTGGTCTCCAGCTGCCACAGCAGAAGGATTTAGACCTTCTGTGGGGTCTGAGTTGTCCCTACCAGGCCTGTGTGTATTCCCAGACACCCCCAGGCATCTTCCATGGCACGAGATGTCCGTGTTTGGGTTCTGTCCTCATTATCTGGGCTGCTCTTCGTGAAAGAGGAGACAAACTGGTACCTCCAGGGGCTGATAGACTCGGTTCTAAGTGGTTTAGACAACAGTGATGGATTGCTTTTCTCTGCTATGCAATGAAAAAAAAAAAAAAAAACCCAGACAATTTAATTAGAAACTTAAGGTTGGGTGCAGCTGCCAAATTTCAGGTCTACAGAGCCATTTGAGATACCTCTGGGTGTCTGGAACATCTGGCAGATGAGACACAGGACACATGGGAGCTGCTGTCAAAGAGCAGCTCGAGGCTGCGGGAGATGAACTCGGGCTTCTACCAAGCTTAGGAAATTCTTGCCCTCAAATAAAGGGGCTCTGCTGCCTAAATATAGGACCTTGTGCCACTCCCAGCACCACAGGTCATCTTGATTTGCCTCCAGTGGCTCTCCCAAAGGACAATTCTCCCAAAAGTTTTGGTTTAAGAGCTCTTTGCATTCTGTGCTCCAAAACCATGGATTAGTGGCTATAACAACTCTGTGTCTGTGGTTTCCTCAGAATTTGAGATAATTTGATGATTTATTGCCACCCAAAGAAGTTCTTCTCTCACCTGGCTCTTTCCTCTTTCTCTTTCTTTCTTTTTCTTTCTTTCTTTTTCTTTCTTTCTTTCTTTCTTTCTTTCTTTCTTTCTTTCTTTCTTTCTTTCTTTCTTTCTTTCTTTCTTTCTTTCTTTCTTTCTTTCTTTCTTT